TCCACGGCCTGCAGCAGGTCGTCGGCGGCCTCCAGCGCCGGCCGCTCGCCGCGCAGCACCCGCAGCGTGGTGCGGAAGCCGCCCGGGCTCAGCGCGCCCAGGCGCACCTCGGCCGCGCGCGCCTCCCGCATGCCCGAGCGGAAGAGGCCGCGGAAGAAGCCGCAGTGCTCCACCAGCAGGGCCCGGTCGGCCTGGAAGAGCTGGCCGCCCACCCACACCTGCACCGGGACCTGCGGACTTGGAAGCATGGCGAGCCGGAGGGCGGGGGCTGCCGCGGGGGGCCTGGATGCAGCGGCCACGGACTCCGGGGCTCCCCCGTAGCAGCGGAAAAACACTTCCCCGGGATATAAATATATCCCTGGCTAAAGATAGTCTGGCTCATGTGATGTGGTGGCTGGCAGGTTGTAGGGCCCTGGGCCCAGAGGGCATCAGAGACCTGCACGGTCACCCAGTCCCGCCCGGGAAATGATAATAGTGACCATATACCGAGCACCGACCCACATGCTGGGCCCCGTGAGGGGTGCTTACAAAGATATCCCACTTAACCTGCACTAACCTAGCGGCATGCTCTTCTGTAAGCACGTACCCTCACTCTCCGACCCTCTGTTTCCTCAAAATGGGGCTAATAACACCTCTTAAATGGTGCAGGTAGCCCCTGCTTTTTAAAAGTTTGCTTTATGCCACTTGGCTTTCTTGAAAGACTCACATCACTCTCTGTTTTCACTAAAAGAATATCTGAAAAGCAAACATAGCGTTCACTGTTTTGTAACCAGTCCTTGTAGGAGCAGCTTGTACCCGGAGCAGCAGCGAGAGTGGCCCCTCCAAGCTCCTTCCCTGGGAATGACACTCAGCATCTCAACAGCAAACCGCCATAACTCTGAACTGTGTCTGTGAGCATCTCGGCTTTATCCATTTGTTTTCTGCATCCATTAGCAAGATAATTGCTTCTTCACGTTTAGGCTCTGGCCTAGTCCAATCTCATTTTGAGCTTGGATTTTCTTCTCTGTAAAAATGGGAGGGTAGCACGTATCCAAAAAGCCCCTGAATGTGGAAGTACTTCCTGACTTGGGATGAGAATGGGAAGCTGATGTCTATTCCCCACTTGCCAGCACTCCTCCACTTCTGTGTCTTTACACCTTAGGAATAGGAAAGCGGGGCTGCTGATCATATATCTCTGGGTGAGAAGGAGAAGGGCTTCTTGAAATAATAACAGTTAACGCTTAGATTGCACTGTCAGACACTTTTGTAAGCACTTTAATTCCTATAATTATTGTAACAATCCTATGAGTAAATGCTATTATTTTCCCTCATTTAATAGGTATTATCTACTTACTAGAGGCCTGGTGCACGAAATTCGTGCATGGGGGGGGGGGCGCGGTCCGGCAGCCCAGCCTGCACCCTCTCCAATCCGGGACCCCTCAGGGGATGTCCAACTGCTGCTGGCAGTCAGACATCGCTCTCACAATCCAGGACCACTGGCTCCTAACTGCTCACCTGCCTGCCTGCCTGATCACCCCTAACTGCCCCCCGCCCCCGCTGGCCTAGTCACACCCAACTGCCCCCCTGCCAGTCTAGTCACCCCCAACTGCCCCCCCCCACCAGCCTGGTCGCACCTTGCTCCCCCCGCCCCGCTGGCCTGGTTGCCCCCAACTGCCCCCCACCCCCACCGGTCTGGTTGCCCCACGAAGCCTGCTGCTCCGTCGTTTGGTCGCCCCTCACTAACCCCCCTGCCGGCCTGGTCGCCCCACACAGCCTGTTCGGTTGTCCATTCAGTTGCGATGGTCGCTTAGGCTTTTATATATATAGATTGCTTATAGCAATACTATGACTTAGACATTTTTATTTTTATTGATTTCAGAAAGGGAGAGGGAGAGAGAGAAACATCAGTGATGAAAGAGAATCATCGATCGGCTGCCTCCTGCACGTCTCCCACTGGGGATCGAGCCCACAACCCAGGCATGTGCCCTGACCGGGTTCATAGGTTGACACTCAACCACTGAGCTACTCCAGCCGGGCAGTTACATATTATTAATGGCCCCACTTCATAGATTAGGAGACTAAGGCTCAGAGGTTGTCACATGCTCAAGATCACATGGCTGGAAAGTGGCAGAGCTAGGACTGGAGTGCAGCCAGTCTGACTCTAGAGCATGTGCCCCTAATCCCTGTGCCTGCTATCTCTCTCTACTACAAATGCTGGGCCAGGTGGTCACAATCGGAAGGAACTTAAGGCTCATATGGTTCAACACCTTTATTTATAGTGGAAGATCAGAAGGAGAATTGCCCAGGGTCATTTAGCTTGGGGCAGACAGTCCCAGGCCTCCTGCTGCCCAACCTTGGGGTAGTTTTCCCCTTGCACTGAACTTTCTTGCGTGACTACCTAAGACTCTGGGTCCCAAAATGTCCGTTGGAAGGGAGCTTAGTGATTCTTTTCTTCTGCCACCTCATTCTACTGGTGGGGAAACTGAGGCCCAGACCTGTGTAGGATGAAATCTGCCATTCTGGAGATGTTCAACTGCAGGACTACTTCAGGAGGATGGAGAGGCTCACAGTGACCAAGTCGGAGTTGGGAGGGGGCAGGAGAATTTCCCTTCCCCCAGGACACAAGTATGCACGGACCCTCACGTATGAATCTGCAGACCCAACGCAAATGTGCCTCCCCTGCCAGGGAACTGCCACCCAGTTCACTACATCAAAGCAGGTCTGGGATGTGGGGACCACTTGGTGAGCCTGGGAAGCCAAAGGCCTGGAGGAGGCAGCCAGAAATATCCCAGATGCTCTGCCCTAGGGACCAGACAGGAAGAGGAAGTGAAGTTGGAGGGGGTGGGCAGGAGTCCCCATAATACTATCCCAGGCCCTCTGCCAGCTTCTTTCCTTCCCTGAGGCCAGTCATTGGCTGACAGGGAACAGTTGTGACAATCTCCCTCTTGGAAGAAAATAGACTGCAATGCCGTCTTAACTGTCCTTGCTAGTGGGCTCAGGAGTAGGAGGTGGGTATCTGACTATTCCCATTTCACAGATGAGGAAAGGGAGGCCCAGAGATGAAATGGGCTTTTCCTTGATTATGAACAAAGATGTGGGACTGGATTGAACCCTGTCCACTGATCCCAGGTCCCAGCCCAGCTGCCTCTGCTCACCAGCACTACTAGTCTTACCTCAGAGGAGAGAAACTGTCTCCAGGCTCAAGCTAAGAGGTGAGGTTGGGAAGGGGCTGACCCCCAAAGGGCCACAGTTTCCTCCCAAATGGCCTGTTTCAGGGACCTAGTAACTGGCAGACACAACCAGATGGAGCCATTGCCTGGACCTCTCCTCAGAGCTTGGGGGAAAGGAGAGCAAATCCCTCCTGGCTGAAGCTTGCTCCCAATCTCACTTTTCCCCAAGTCCAGCCCTGGCTTCAGTGGGTTGGGACACTGGTGCACACACGAGCTCCCACCCTTCAGAGCCAGACAGTAGGGAGGGGTTCACCCAAGGTGGGGGTCATGGTTCTGAGGCTGGGCTGAGGATCAGGCCTTTGGCTCTGCCCCAAGACCCCAGTGGGGTGTTGTCTGCAGCTGGTGAATTTCCTCCTCCCAGACAGTGAGCATCCCTCTGGGACTTGGAGAGGACAGGAACTATCCTGGCTGTGGGCAGCCCACGGAGTTCCCAGGCCCTGCCTGACCTCACACCAACCTCCTTCTCCACTTTGCACCCCTAATGCTGTGCAAGGTTGGAGGTGGGGGAAATGGAAGGGGCTGTGTGTCAGACGTTCTGAGCCTTTCTAGAGCATGCACCCAGCCTTTTTTGTCTCTGCAGAATGATTGGCCCACAGTAAGGGGTCTGTTAAGTGGAATCCTAGGCCCTAACCTAAGTAGGAGTCCCCAGTCTGATGGAGGAGACACAACTCCATCCTAGGAGAGCCTCCAGTCTGATGGAGGAGACATAGCCCTTGCCCTGGGAGGCGCCCCCACAGTCCGATGGGGGACCCCTGGCCTTTGCTGCCCCTGGTGGTATTTCTACACACAGGGGAGTGAGGAGCTTGCCTGGACCTGACAAAGGGAAAACACTGGACTAGGGATCAGTATGACTGCCAGGCTCTGATGCTGGGACTATCACTGATTTGCAAAAGCTACCCAACCCTCTCCGGGCCTCAGTTCTTCATCTGGGAAATGGAACTTTGGATCTGATTTCTAAGGTCTGTTCGGCTTTGACATCTGAACTTATCATTGTACAACCACAGGAGAGGTGGTCATATTGGGCCTCCAGAGAAGGCCGTGACATCACAACAGGGTCTTGAAAGCTTAGCTTTATGTGGAATGGCTCCTGGGGGGTGGGTGGCAAGGGTAGGACCAGGCATCCAGAAATCCTCACTGGCCCTACCTGTCTAGACCTGTACATGCCCCACTCATCCCCTCCAGAGACATCTCTTGAGCACCTGCTACTGGTACATGCCCGCTGCTGGGCTGGGCGCCACATCCTCTGCATTTTGGGTACTTGGGGGCCTCCTGTAAGAATCGCGAAGAGGGTTGGGCTCCTTGTCCTCACAGAATAACCTCTCTTTGACCTGAGGTCCAAACCTCTGGTCACTAAACAGTTTGGCTTTTGGGAAGATGGGTGAGAAGCATGTGCTATGCATGTCAGAGGGAGTAGAGGGAACTATCATTTGCTTTTTTGGGCCATGGGCCGACCTCTGGGTGGGACTCTTTCATGTTATCTCAGCTACTCCTTAATATTACCCCTATTTTAAAGATGAGGAACGGAGGCTCAGAAGGGCAAAGGAGCTTATTCCAGGGTCTGACAGTAGGTGGTTATTCCGAAGGGCTTTGCAGTCCACACTGGCACTTCCGGGTGCTGGACAAGCAGCCTACAGATAAAGAGCGTGAGGATGAGGAAAGGGACTGGTTGCGGTTGTGAGGTCTGCAGTTTTCCTCCCACGCCTCAGAGGAGGGGCTGACTTTGGCCCTTAACAGCCACAGCTAAGGGCCTGACTAACCAGCTGGCAACTGGTTCAAATAATCTCTGAACTGGAAGGGAATTAAGGATCATCTCCTCTGATCCTGCGAGTCATGGTGGAGTCTCCTCTACAATGCCTCCTTGAAGTGGTTACTTCTTGGTTGCCTTTAATGTTGGGGGGCTTCAGATGGTTAGAGCTCACCCTCACACTGAGCTAAACATGCCTCCTTGCAGATCCCATCTACTTTTGATGCGAGTTTTAGAGATAAGTAAAAGAACAACTCCCGCCTCACACAGGCAGGGAAGTAGCAGAGTCCAAGTGTACGCCTAGTTGGGTCTGTAGGTGTCCACAGCTTGCCCTCGCTCTGGCAGCCCCCCAGTGAGACTGGTGTCTCTTCCCACAGACCCCATGCAGAACCAGCCTGTCCCCACAGCCCAGGGATGTGCCTGGAACTTGGCTCCCACTTTTTCTCCTCCTAAAACTCAGGAACACCCTTGGCCATTAGCTCTGTGAGGAATTCTGGCCTGAGGGTGTAATCTAAACACATTTCTTCCAACACCTTAGAGCCTTAATAACACAGCTGGTTTACCACCAGCTCCCAGAAACACAATTAAGCTGAGTCAGTATTTATGTCCTGTCCTGGAAAATAATTTTCCTTCTTGGTTGAGGAGTTATTACCAGCAGGTTCTGACCCCCCTCCCCTTGCCTGCTGACCTGGGTTTATGATTTCTCTTGTACATGGTGGGTAGATCAGCTGGGGTGGTGGTGGTGGTGGGGAAGTAGGGGCTGGGGAGAGAAACGCTGCAGTGAGAGGTCTCTGAGACTCTCATCCCCTTCCCCACTCTAGCCTGCAGTGTATTCCAAAGAGTCCCGACAGAATTTTACAAAGTACTCAGGCCTGGAGCCCAGGGCTGATTCTATCACTCTCAATTAGGCCTAAATCACATCATGGAATTTGGAATTTATTTCCCCCCTTTTTAGTATTATAGATAGCAGTAAAAGGCCCAAAGAAAGGTTACTTGCCTAAGGTCACCCAGTGAAGGAGCTGGCATAGATCCTAAGTGTCTGGGTCCCCCATGTGGGCCCTTTGCCCTGTCTCTCGCATGACCAGATTTACCCTGGGTCCCAAGGGGAATGACAGGTGACCCCCACAGGCTCCACCAATCCCAGAATTATTATTATTTTTAAATATATTTTTAGATTTCAGAGAGGGAGAGAGAGAGAGAAACATTGATGATGATAATCATTGATTAGCTGCCTCCTACACGCCCACTACTGGGGATCAAGCCTGCAACCTTGGCATGTGCCCTGACCAGGAATAATTAATGGGTCTACACTCAACCACTGAGCCACCGTGGCAAGAGGTGTGCCAGGTTTTATGTCCTTTCACAGGGGTCGCCTAAGACCATCGGAAAACACATATATAATTACATATTGTTTTTGTGATTCATCACTATGCTTTAATTATGTTCAATTTGTAACAATGAAATTGGGGGTCACCACAACATGAGGAACTGTATTAAAGGGTCGCGGCATTAGGAAGGTTGAGAACCACTGTTTTAGGACAAATAAAATGCCCATTTATACTCTAGTCTACTAACACATGCAACTCATTAGCTCTGATCAGGTAGCAAACTGTAATGCAGGATGGGTTCGGTTCTTGAAGCTGAGCCCACACTGGCCATGAACTATTAGTAAGGAGGTCTCATCCTCCCCCTTCAGGAGCCTGGGTCCGCCTGGTGCTGCAGTGATGCCTGAGAGTCTCCACAAGGGCAGGGTAAGGCGGCCCTGGAAGTTGTGTGCCAAGGTTGAGCTGGCTGTGACCTAGAAAAGGGGCAAGGCTTGGAGTTGAACCCAGCAGACTTCCCGGAGGAGGCAGCGGCGGGGAAGCTGGGTAGAACAAAGGGAGGGAGGGACTTTCTTGCTGGAAGGAGAGAGTGAGTGGAGGTTCAGACTAGGCTGGAAACAGACTTCCCCTCTATCGCCCTACCCAGGGCCTCGCTCCCTCTGGTCCTTGTCCTTCCCTGCCGGGTGTGGGGGCGCTCCGGACAGTGACAGCAGACCCCGGCCCTCGAGGCCAAGGATGGTGGGGTGCACCGGCGCTTTGCGAGCCCTCCCCCGCGTCTTCTGCGGGGTGAGTGCGCCCCGCGGGGTGCTCCCGCAGCCTTACAAGGAGTTTGGCGGAGCTCGGGGCAGCCCCGCCCGCTGGGCTCCACCGGCCCCTCCTCCCACCCCCTCGGGCCGAGCTGCGGGAACCCTGCCCCCTCGGCTCGCGCGGCCCGGGCGCGGACTTCGACGGGGCCGAGTGGCGAGTGCCAAGCGAGCCTGCGAGTCGCCCCCGAGGGTCCCGACGGGCCGGCACGCTGCTTGGGGCCTTGGGGCCAAGGACCCGAGTCCCTCTCCGCAGCGTCGCCATGTCCTCCGTGTTCGGGAAACCCCGCGCGGGCGGCGGGCAGCAGAGCGCGCCCCTCGAGGTCAACCTGGCCATCCTGGGGCGCCGCGGAGCGGGCAAGTCCGGTGAGTGGGGCAGGTGCCAGGGAGGGATGGGAGTTAGGGGGGGACCGGGAAGCAGATGAAGGGACCCGGGCGCTGTGGGCTTGAGGGCAGACTCTTCCACTGGCTTTGGGGGCTCCCTGCCCCCAGTGAGTTGGGCAAGACACTGATTTTCTTCTTTGCCTCAGTTTCTCTGTATTCCCTGGGTATGACTCTGTTGCTTGGCACTCTCTCTGCTTTGCTCTCAGCTCCTCCATCTCTCATCTGTCTTCTGTTCCTTGCCTGGCTCTCCCTCTGTGTCTCCCTACTGTGCTTCTGTGCTCCATGTCTGTACCCCAGCTTTCTCTCCCTTCTGTCCATCTCTGTGTCTCCCAGACCTCTGCTGGTCTCCCCCTAACCCCCATCACCTCTCCCTGGGGCCAGCAGTCAGCTGTGGTGCATGACACCAAAGGACCTATTGGGCACTATCCCCCCCCCCCCCAAGGCCCCTGTGAGCTTAGTCACAGCCTTGCTACTCCCTGGTTTAGGCTGGAGGTGCAGGAGCCACTGGCCCTTGAAGGGAGTTGGTAGAAGTCACTGGCTAGTGGGCCTTCCCAGGCCGTGCTCCCCACTCCCTTCCTCCGTTCCCTGGGATTTGGGGGTAAAGTGTGCATTCTTATCAAACATATTTGTTTCAAGCCAGATCCCTCTCTTGACTTTCTGGCAACAAACTGGACTGTGGTCCCAGGGCTAGGACCATCCTTGACAAACCAAGATCTTGGTTCCCGTTGAAATCATGTCTATCAACACTGAACTCCGTCTTCACCATTCCTGGCAGCTCTCACCCACCTGGATCCAAGGGGGTGGTAGCGGGGGAGTCACCATAGACCAGTGATGGCGAACCTATGACACGCGTGTCAGAGGTGACATGCGAACTCATTTTTTTGGTTGATTTTTCTTTGTTAAATGGCATTTTAATATATAAAATAAATATCAAAAAATATAAATCTTTGTTTTACTATGGTTGCAAATATCAAAAAATTTCTATATGTGACACGGCACCAGAGTTAAGTTAGGGTTTTCCAAAATGCTGACACGCCGAGCTCAAAAGGTTCGCCATCACTGCCATAGACAGAGACCCAGGAAAAGGGTCCAGCCCTCCCCCGGCCACTTACAGTCCAAGGCAGCTGCAGGTGGGAAGGGAGAAGGGGCTCCTCACAGGCTGTTTTCCAGTTACAGCCATTAGTGAAGGGCCAGCATGGGCTCAGTTCGCTGTTGCTTCCTTCCCCAGGGTGTTTTTAGGACTCACTGGGGGCTTCCTCTCTACGTTTAAAGCCAGCCCTCTGGCTCAGAGAGGGATGCTTCTGAATCACATTTTCCAACAGAAAAGATTTGCCTTCTCCCCTTTGAAAATAAAATTGTTATCTGGAGCTGTGTCACTGGTACAGTTTAGCCAGTGGCTACGTTAATAAAGGAATCTAAATTTAAAAATATGTATTCCCTGGGTATTACTTTGCAAACTGACACTGATAGGAATCCTGGGAAAGAATTTTCAGGATTTTCTTTAAAATATCTCATTACTTTTTAAGAGTTCAGTAAAAGAGTTGGCTGGCCCTTGGCTTTCTGTGGTTAAATTCTGAACAAAATCAGAATTCTCTTAATGCATTGCACCTGGGGATAACTTCATTCTAGAGTTTTACATTCTGCGAGGCACCATGACCAGTCTGGAGGCCCCAGAGCCAAGACTTGAGATGTGAATGGCTGAGGACTACAGTGTGTTTACTTAGGACACAGATCTTGCCTGGACCTCCCCTGCAAATCCCAGGCCCTCAAGGGGTCATATTGCCCCCAGGGATCACCCACTGATCAAGTTGGCTCTTACTCTCTCTTTGTCTTGTAGCCAAAATTGGAATAAATGCCGCACGTTTCAGAATCTCTGGGACTTGTCCAGGGTGGGAGATACCTTCTTTCAGTTGGGGTTGCATGGGTCCTGACTCCTTAGTTTGGATCTTCACAGACACCCCTTAGACTTGTCTCATTGCTTTTCTTGCCACCAAAATAAAAAATCCCAGGGACACAGTTCCCCATATTTCTGGTTTCTTCTGAGCCTCTCAAACCAACCACTCAGCTTCCAGCCACATTTCCCCAGAGACTCGGGCTTGGTGTCAGCCAGGGGTCACAGAGGCTAGATAAGGCCTTCCTAAAATGAAAGGGGCAGCCTCCAGGGCCAGCAGCCAGATCCAGCAGGGGAGACAGAGCCAACTTCTTTCTTTCTTTCTTTCTCTCTCCCTTCTTAAAAAAAATATCTTTTTATTGACTTCAGAGAGGAAGGGAGAGAGAGAAACATCAATGATGAGAGAGAGAGAGAAACATCAATGATGAGAGAGAATCATTGATTGTGAGCCAATTTCTTTCTGCTTCTTGCAGCCCTGACCGTGAAGTTTCTGACCAGAAGGTTTATCAGTGAATATGACCCCAACTTGGGTAAGGAACTCCTTCCTATTCCTCCTGCTGTGCCCCACTTGGATCTACCCTCTCCCATGACACCTGCCCTGTGGTGGGCCCAGGTGTGACCAGGACCAAAGATCTGGAGGCAAAGGGGAGGAGCCACCAGGATGATTCAGCCCACGTCAGGCAAATGTTTTAAGTGCTAGAAATACTCCCTCCACAGCCCACCCCAGACAACTTGGGGGTTGGCCAAATTCAGAGAGCTGTGTGATTTGCCCTAAAAAATGAGGTATGATGAGACTTTAAAAAAATAAAATAAAACATAGCAGAACATCCACATCCATTTAGTTGTTCTTCAAGATGGTCACTCAATGCACTTTTCCAGAAAAGCTGGACAAGACATTTGAGAAATTTTCTAGTGGAATTGGCTTCTGAACCAGCTTTTGAACCATACAAATAACAGTCTTGTTTTATTGACATCTCATGGTATATTGGAAAAAGGGATGCTCTGGTGTCAGTCAGAACTGAGTTTGAATCCTGACTCTGCCACATATTGGCTGTGCAACCTTAAGGCAGTCACCCAACCTCTCTGAGCTTCTGTTTCCTTATTTGTAAAATGGGCATAAAAACACTTATTTCAGAGAATTACTGTGACAATGAAAGAGGTAACACAGGAAAGAGCTAGCCTAGTACTTGACCCACAGTAGACATTCAATACATATTCACTTCCTTCTCCTTCCTCCTCCAATGGCTTCCTATCTATGATGGCTGAGATTCCCTCAAGTTCATCAGATCAGTGTTTCTAAAAATTACTTTTAGCAGCAGGACCTTTATCTCAAATGACCACTTACATGGAACCCCAATATCTAAAACAAATAAGAGCAGAATTTTACTAGTATAAATGTAACCTACTTATAACATTTGTTATTGTAAACTGTGCACTAAGAAAAATGAGTTGTCTGGATCTCTTTGCCTTTTGAAAATGAAGGTTGCAGTCTTGGATATTTTCCCCATTCATAGTAACGGAATAAAGCATGTGTGGTACCCCCAGGAGCCCTGAGCAAACCCAGGGCTTTGGAGCGCAGGTTGAAAAGCTGCACAATACAGCACTTCCTGCAGCAGGCATCTGATGGGATGCCCCGTGACACCTGAAGGAAAGAACTGCTTAGCCCATTGGTGCCCACCAGCCCCCCAGCTCAGGCTGGAATGTTGAATCCCAGTGTCAGAGCGAGAAAGGACCTCAGGGCTATTTAGGCCAATAGTTTTTAGAATGATTTCCTTGAGTAGCAGACTTCTTCTGACCAGGAGGTTTATCTGTGAATATGCCAACTTGGGTAAGGAACCACTTGGGTGAAGAGATCTTAAACAGAACCCCAGGGTGTTGAACAGAGAAATCGGAAGGGCTCCCCTGGTTAAGTCAGGAGTGCCAGGCCAGTGACGGGCCAACAGCCGCTTAGGGGTTTGCTCCTCAAAGCTTGGCTTGACCACCAGTCTTTGACAGCCCCTCCATGCTACATGGAGGAAATAGCCCAAGGAGCTGAGGCTTCTGGGCCAAGGTCACACAGCAGATCTGAGGAGAGCCCTTTGATTAGCAGAGGTCAATGCTGATGGGAGTGGGACACAGGATGCGATTGTGTGCTGGTCGGGGAAAGTGATGGGAGAAACCAGAACATGAAATCAGATGGAGTGGGGCGAACTGGAGAGGGGAGGCGAGGGGAGAAGGCGGGAAGGAAAGGCATACAAGCGGGAGTGTCTGCGAAGGGACAACAGGGATTCTAAAGGATGGTGCCTCAAAAGACAGTCTGCCTAGCTCAAGGCCGCATGCATATGCTAACAATTATTCGCTACCTACCTGAAATTCAGATTTACCTGAGCATCCTGTATTTTACCTGGTAACCGCCTCCAGTCTATACCCTTTGTGCAGGGTCCCTCCGAGGAGCCTATTCTCGTGGTGTTGTGAGCTTCCTGGTTGAGTAATTTTGGAGTTCTGACCTGGTAGTGGAATGCATGGTCAGACTGTGTGGGGGGCAGCAGCCCCGGAATGCTTAGTCATCCCACCCTGAGCGCCTATGAGCTGGAGAGATGACCAGATGCTCTTCCCTCAGCCATTCCGGGAGGCCAGTGCCACTCCTGGAGGTTCTGTTTCACTGTCTAAACATTTCAGCCATGCTCCCATGGCTGGCTCCAGAACAGTGGGGACCCCGGGACCCCACAGCCTTTCCTTCTATGGAGAAAGGTCTGCGCATCCAAGGGCAGAGTTAGCATCAGGAGATGCAGAACCACTCTTTCCCCGTTTCAAAGGTCTTCCAAGAGCTTGAGCTTACCTGGAGCCTCTGGCGGGTGGGAACCTGTATTTGTCCCCATGTCCAGCATGGGGCACAGTACTGGGTACAACACAGGTGCTTGTAGACATGAAATTGAATTTTGATTTTAGGATTGTCCTTTAAAGAACAGTGTCTAATATTAACCCCATTTTACAGATAAAGAAACTGAGGCAGTGATTTGCCTAAGATCATGGAGAACGTCAGGTTCAAAGCAAGATGAGACACCAAACCAGTTGCTTTCTACTAAGGGCAGCCTTGTGCTATAGAGGGCCTGGAGGCGGAGGTCTGCATAGCACTGAGTTCTCTGAGCCTTGGTTTCCCCGTCTGGGAAGAGGTGACTAATAGACTGTTCTGTCTGTGTAAAAGCTGTGCCTTGTTAGGCATTGTGACTGGTAGAGCCAGTAGGAGCTGAGAGATTCGGTGCCTGTGAAAGGGCTTTGCCTGTGCTGAGCGCCGGGAGAACATTCTCCTGCAGAGGGCTGGGGCCATCTCACCTGGCTTGCCCGGGGCAGAGTGATGGCTTCTATCTTGCCCTCATTCTGCTCCAGCAAGCACATCGTCACCATTTCTGAGGCATCATCCTATACACACTCACCTGACCTCCTTTGGTGCCTTTAAGAAAATGATTACTGCCCTGACTGGTTTGGCTCAGTGGATAGAGCGTCGGCCTGTGGACTGAAGGGTCCCAGGTTCGATTTCGGTCAAGGGCATGTACCTTGGTTGCGGGCACATCCCCAGTGGGGGGTGTGCAGGAGGCAGCTGATCGATGTTTCTCTCTCATCGATGTGTCTAACTCTCTCTCCCTCTCTCCCTTCCTCTCTGTAAAAAAATCAATAAAAATATTTTTTTAAAAAGAAAATGATTACTGTAAATGAGAGAAAAATGCTTTGGGAAAAGATTCTTCTCTCAGCATTAAAGTCCACAGAATGTTATTTAGAACCAGACGTTATGAGGTCCATGTGTGTAAAGATGCCAGACTGCCCTTAGGACAGAAACTAGGTGATGGGAGGAAAGGACATCGCTGTGAATTGGAAAGGAGCCCCACCCCCCAGAGTGGGAGAAAGTGGGTAAGATGACCTCTGAGCTTCTTCCAGCTCACCATGCATGTTCCACATCCTCAGCTGGGCTGGGAGCTTCTGCTCTTCCCCTGTACTCTGCCCAGATAGAGCTGGAAGTTGACGGGTCCACTGAGCAGAGAGAGTGAGGGGGTGCCCGTGGGGAGGCAGCCCAGCCTAGAAGACGTGAGTTCAGGTCCCTGTATAGGTAGGTGTTGTGGGCTATGGACGCATCCTTCCTTCTCTGGGCCTCACCTCCCTGTCATCTCTCTGTAGTGGAGTTAACAGCGACCTCAGGAGGCCGTTGTGCTATCAGGGACTAGGGAGACCAGGCCCAGGGGTGGGCTAATATTTTTCCTTGGACTGGGCAGGAGCCGGTGCCTGTTTGGGAACAGGAGCTGTGAAGCACCTAAAAGGGGTGCCTCGGACAACTTGGGCCGGAAAATCTGAACGAGATGTAGGCATCTAGGGGCAGTTCTTGTTGCACCAAATATAGTTAAACATTTGGGGCATATTTTCCATTAGATGTGGTTTCGTGTTTTTTTGTGCTTTGTTTTTTGTTTTTTTTTGTCTTTGAATAAGAGCGGCATTTATCCAAGTCCCCAAAGCAGGCTGGGGACGGGAGCTGTCTGTGATTCCTGCTGGCTGCTAGTGGACCTGGCATGTGTCCAGGCCTGGCTTGGCTGCCAGTGGCCCTCAGAGAGAAGTATTTGACTCGGCCAGGGTTAAGGGGTTTCTCTTCTCACAGTGACTGCTGCCAGGAAGACAGAGAGGGCCCCAGTTCTGCCCAGAGGGGTCTTCTTTGAGGTCACTTGGGGCACTGGGGGGACACAAGGGAAAGGTCAGGACCAGGTACACACACACACACACACGTGGGCCAGTGACATGGGGTTAGGTTGGGGGTAGGGAGAGTGATGGCCAATATGGCAGCGAGGTCCTCTTTGCATTCTCGGACACTTCCTGCTTTCTCAGGTTTAAGGTGATGAGAACTGAAAAATTAAAAACTTATGAAATCCAAATAAGATCGGTAGTTTAGTTTATAGTGTGCTACCAATGTCAATTTCCTGGTTTGGATCATTGTACTATGGTTATGTAAGGTGTTAACAATGGGAGGATGGTTATGTAAGATGTTAACAATGGGAGGATGGTTATGTAAGGTGTGCACACATGGAGACAGGTACACACACATGTTTACACAGAAACTTCACTTGGCCCAGCTGGGGGGATGGTACAAACTTCACTTGGCCCAGCTGGGGGGATGGTACACAGGAACTCTCTGTACTGTTGTGTAACTTCTACATGAGTCTAGAATTATTTCAAAATAAAAAGTAAACCCTGCTGGTGTGGTTCAGTGGTTGAGCATCAACCCATGAACCAGAGGCCATGGTTCGATTCCCCGTCAGGGCACATGCCCGGATTTTGGGCTCAGTCACCAGTAGGGGGCATGCAGGAGGCAGCCAATTGATAATTCTCTCTCTTCATTAATGTTTCTCTCTCTCTCTCTCTCTCTCTTTCCCTTCCTCTCTCTGAAGTCAATAAAAACATTCTTTTAAAGTAAAAATGAGTGAACCTGCCCTGTAAACTTTGGAGCACCATGGTCCCCACTGTGCTTTACCAGTTATTTGTGGAGGGCCAGGGCCCTAACCGGCGGCCCATCCAGTCCTCACAGCCCTGTGAGATAGTGCAGGGACAAGTATTTAGCACAGTGCCTGGCACAAAGGAAAAGCTTGAAAACAGTTAGCCAATGTTATCAATCTTATCCCCATTTTAAAATGAGAAAACATTTAGCATGAGGAAACAGCCCTAGCCTGTTTGGCTCCGTGGACAGAAAGCCTGCAGACTGAAGGGTCCTGGGTTTGATTCCTGTCAAGGGCACGTACCTCGGTTGCAGACTCTTCCCTGGCCCGGGTGTGGTCAGGCTCCTGCAGGAGGCACCCAATTGATGTGTTTCTCTCAAATCAGTGTTTCTCTCTGTCTTTCCCTCTCTCTGGAAAATCAATGGAAAAATATCCTTGAGCGAGGATTAACAAAATAATAAAATAAATAATAATAATCTAATCTAATAAAAGACAAACATGTACATTGACCGTACCTTTGCTATGCCTTAAGCCACGCCTACCAGCCAATCAGAGCAAATTAACCCAACCAAGATGGCGGCCGGCAGCCACAGAGCTGGAGCGAGCAGGAGGCTTGGTTGCTCCAGTGATGGAGGAAGCCAAGCTTCCCACCTGCCGCAGCTGGCTCTGAGCTCCACTGAAGGCAACAAAGTTTCAATTATAGAAGGTAAATAAATCCCAGAATAAAAAAGAAAAAGAAAAAATGGAGAGGCTGGGCGCTTCCGTCGCCGGGGGGCTTGGCCAGCCTGAAAACGGCCCTCAGCCCCTCACCCAGACTGGCCAGGCACCCCAGTGGGGACCCCCCACCCTAAAGGGAGTATGGCCAGCCTGAAAACAGCCATCAGCCCCTCACACAGACTGGCCAAACCTCCATGGGGTGAGGGTCCCCACTGCGGGGGGGGGGGGGGGGCTTGACCAGCCTGAAAAAAGCCATCAGCCCCTCATCCAGGGCTTGGCCAGGGCACCCCCAGTCGGGACCCCTACCCTGAAGGGGGTGTGACCCAGCCTGCAAACAGCTATCAGCCCCCTCACCCCAGGCTGGCCAGGCACCCCCAGTGGGACCCCCACCCTGATCCAGGACACCCTTCAGGGCAAACCAGCTGGCCCCCACCCGTGCACCAGGCCTTTATCCTATATAATAAAAGGGTAATATGCAAATTGACCCTAACAGCAGAACGACTGGGAATGACTGGTCACTATGACACACACTGACCACGAGGGGGCAGACACTCAATGCAGGAGCTGCCCCCTGGTGGTCAGTGCGCTCCCACAGGGGGAGCTTTGCTCAGCCACAAGCCAGGCTGATGGCTGCCAGTACAGTGGTGGTGGTGGGAGCCTCACCCGCCTCCTCAGCAGCACTAAGGATGTCAGACTGTAGTTTAGGCCTGCTCCCCGCTGGCAGGTGGACATCCCCCGAGGGCTGCCGGGCTGCCAGAGGGATGTCTGACTGCCAGCTTAGGCCCAGTCCCTCAGGGAGCGGGCCTAAGCCAGCAGGTGGTCATCCCCCGAGGGTCCCAGACTGCGAGAGGGCACAGGCTGGGCTGAGGGAACCCCCCCCCCCAATGCACAAATTTTTGTGCACTGGGACTCTAGTAATGATAATAATAAATAAATAAAATAAAATGAGGAAACAGTTCTTTTCAAAGAGCTGAAATGACTTGACCAAGTCACACAGCTAAAAAGTAGCTGAAGTGGGGTTTGATTCCACATCTCCAACCTAAAACTTTCGACTACCAGATTCCTCTATTATTTTGACAAGAATTATTTGTAAAATCTTCTTTGGCCCAGCTGGTGTGGCTCGGTGGTTAAGTGGTTGACCCATGAACCAGGAGGTCATGGTTCAATTCCTGGTCAGAGCACCTGCCCGGGGTTGCAGACTCGATCCCCAGTAGGGGGCGTGCAGGAGGCAGCCAATCAATAGATGTTTCTCCCTCATTGATGTTTCTATCCCTCTCCATAAATAAATAAATAAATAAATAAATAAATAAATAAATAAATAAATAAAAACATTTAAAAAACAAGTAAAAAAAAAAAACAACCTTCTTGGGACTTCTAAACAGGGCGCTCCCCCTGAGGACAGGCAGACTGTCCTTGGGGGCTTCCTATGGGCCAGCCTCTGTGGTTAAAGGGGAAGAGGGTGGAGAAGCTTCCTGAGGCTTCTGCTGCCACGCACTCCCTCCTGCCAGCGTGGTTGGTGGGCCCAGAACACAATCCCGTCCCCTGTGGCCTGTTCTGCTAGTGGCCTCTGTTGCTCTGAGCCCTGACAGGGGGAGCAGTCTCTCCTGGGTGGGGGTTCTGCTCAGGCCCTCCATGTGGGGAGAGCCAAGGCCTTGGCAGTGCTCCCGGCTCAGCCAGCCCTGGATCAGGCCCCCAGGGCTGCCCAGAGGGAAGCTGGGATTCAGACCCAGCCCATTATCAGCGTGGTGGCCTGCTCCGCCCTTAACCCGGCTGACTCTCTGTGTTGCAGAAGACACCTACAGCTCTGAGGAGACTGTGGACCAGCAGCATGTGCACCTGAGGGTCATGGACACTGCAGACCTGGTAACCTTACCCCCCTTGCAGCTGAGAGCGCAGCCTCCTGAGAAGTCCTGGCCCCATAGTGGGGGCCTCAGATGGGAACATCCCCTTCCAGCTCGTTTGCTGTGTGACCCTCTCTTGGCCTGAATCTCTTCATTTGCCAAACGAGAAGGAAAGGGGTGGGGCTCGGGGAGGCTTGATGACCGAGGGCATCAGCTCCAAGATCCTGTGCTCTGGGCCTGATGCTCGTGCACACGTGGAGACAGGTGCACACACATGTTTACACAGAGGCTCCCCTCGGCCCAAGTTCCCCCCCAATACACACATCTCCCTGTGTTCTCACCACCTCCTGCCAAGGCCGGATGCCACTCATTCTCAGAAGCCAAAAGAGTACCATGAACCTGACCCCAAACCAGCGGTGCCCAGAGACAGCCAGGTCTCTTCAGGGGCCGTGCCAGAGTGTTGGCTCTGCGCCCCAGAGGCCAAGGTCTCCCAGTCTCTGGCTGGGTGGTGGGAGGGAGGCTCACGAGACAATGTCTCCTTTCACACCACGCCAAACCCACACTCAAGTGCCCCTTTGACAAGGGCTCTGCTGGGAAACAATATACAAAGACCCGGAGCGTGGGGAGGTGCCGCGGGTAGCCCAGGTGAAGGCCTTCGCCCTGACCTCCTCTGTCCCTGACCGGGGCGTCCCTCCTTTGCCCCAGGACACCCCCAGGAACTGTGAGCGCTATCTGAACTGGGCCCACGCCTTCCTGGTGGTTTACAGCGTTGACAGCCGCCAGAGCTTCGAGGGCAGCAGCAGCTACCTGGAGCTGCTCGCTCTGCACGCGAAGGAGACGCAGCGCAACTACCCGGCTCTGCTGCTGGGCAACAAGCTGGACATGGCCCAGTACAGGTGAGCACTGCGGTTGTCCCACGACTCCAGAGCTCACGGTCCTCATCTGTGAAGCCTGGGTATCATCTTCAGGGATTATTTGGCTGCTAAGAATAGTAATCTCGAGGAGTTCGGGAGGTAGAGGCTGGCAGCGCAGCGCAGTTTTAGGTAAAGGGGGGTATGTTGTAAGGGTGTGTCTTCTAGGCAGCCATGGACAGGAAGGGAGGGGCATCTGGGCAGCCCAGGGGCTGGACCCTGAAAGTCAGGAGAGAGGCCACTCCTTCCTTCCTCCTGGGGCTCTGTGGTCTCTGCCGGCCTCACCCTTTCTTGCCTGAGTCTATATGACCTTCTGTCCCCACTCGGTGCAGCAGGCTGGTCATTCTGTGCCCAATTCCAATTCTAGGGAAGGAGACTCCGGTTTACTGGGTAAGGAGTCTGCCCTGGTCCAACCAGCTTTCACCTCACCCAAGCGCAGCCCCCAGGCTCACTTCCACGGCTGGCTGTGCTGAGGGCAGTTCTCTTCGCAAGGGTTGGACTTGGATCAGAGGTCACAGACTGGACCAGAGAGCAGATTACCATCGAATACTGCAGCCATGTATATACTCATGTATCTTAGGAGACCTGGAATTGGAATGCTTTGGGGCTGGGCATGCTCTTTCTAGCTGACCACAGGCCTCACCACTCCCTGTGGCTTTCCTCTACTCTCTACACACATTTAAGTTGCCTGTCTGCCCTGAAGCATTTGAGACTATGATGCCTCCACTTGATAAGAATTAGTAATCTCATTGACATTCGTACTGACATTCGTCCTATGTGGCCAGTCCACCTGCAAGGTATGGCACCTTCTGCCAGCCTTCCACCGGTCCCCCCCTGCTCATGGATGGCCACTCCTGATTCCTTAGGCCCCAAGGAGGGGACCCTTTGTTTTAAACAGGTCAGATAGACAGTGGGAAAAGGGGTTCCAGTCTCATGAAGGGGGACAGGCCCTCAGACCCAGACATATTCCATCTCAGGGAATGAAGAAAGTTGTGTGATCTTAAAGCCAAAATGATCCACAGAGCCCCCGGAGCCTAGAAGACTGGATTGAGGTAAACCAGTTTTCATTTTGAGGAAAAAAAAACAGACCGTTATTTTGATCCCAATCTTTGCCAAATAGATTGTCTAAAAATGGTTTGGGAGCAAATAACAAAGAACATAGGCTCAAGTGAAGCAGCATCCGTTCCCTAAGAACAAGTCCCTGAATCCCCATTTCCTTCTCCGATCAGGTCCCTAGCTCAGGAGGTCAGGCTCTGATGGGCATCGTAAATCTAACTTGGAGCTGAGCGCTGATCGGTGCCTCCCATGATTGTCTTGCAGCTAAATGTGGTTTAGAGCAGCGGTTCCCAAACCACTGGTAAAATGTTCACCAGGCTCCAACAAAATGAGAAAAAGGATGTTACATGCCTGCATGACCCATTCACACACATGCATGCATCATGCATGGGGTTCCTGTTCCTGAAAGTTCATTATTCAAGCCCCACGATGACAAAGTTTCAGATTCAAGTTTATTATAAAAGTAAATAATACTAAATATTCTTTCACAAGAGGCACCTCAGGAAGCAGTGACAGGACACCAGCCCTGGGTGGGGGTGGGATTAGGTGCTCGCCCCTGACCCTTTTTGTCCCAGTCACTCTGTCTGGTACTGCCCTGGGTAGCTAGCCCACTCCCAGCCCCCTACTCCTGCCAAATGAACCTTGGCTCAGAAACCTGTTCCCACCAGTACCCACCCTAGTGTCTCCTCTCATCGCATGGGCTGTGCCATTGTCCTCAGGAGTGGTGGGTGGGGCAGCTCAGTAGTGGGAGGTGGTCAGGAGGATTCAGGTGTTGAACCTTGGCAGGGACATCCTGTCCCTTCCCTCTTCTGGACATTTGACCTGCCCAAGAACCAGCCTTTTCCCCCCTCACCTTGACTCCCGGGGCTTCCAGGTCAGACGATTTCAGGACCTTCCCATTTGCAAATATTTGCTCCCACCATCCTGGGAGGTGGGATGAAGCTGGGAGTAGGTGCTGCTCCCTCTCTCCTCCCCCCCACCCCCACTCCACATGAATGTTGTCACCCTTCTCTCTCCTGCCCGTCCCCTAGGCAGGCAGACAAAACTCCCCACGAGCCCTGAGAGCTTTGTCAACCACAGGCATCCTGAGTGCCTTGGCCCTCCATGCCTCTGTAGACACTGTGGTCTCACACCCGTCAGTCCAAACCAGTGCCTTTTTGTAGAGCTGAAGAGCTGATCCCACGAGGGAGGGCTGAGGGTGGCTCATGTCCTGACCAAGGGCTCCATATGGGAGTAGAGGGTAGGGATGTGGATGGCTGTCTTCCTCCAGCCACAGGCAGGGTGTAGGTAGGGCCTTTGGCCAGCTTCTCTCCTACCCTCAACCTCGCTCCTAAATTCTGGCTTTGGTGACATCAGCCACCATTTATTGAGCACTGACTCTGCCAGGTACTGTGCTAGGCAAATTGTCTTTCTTACTCTTCTTAACCCTGAGAGCAGATGTAATTGTCCCATTTTGCTGATGAGAAAGCTAAACCTTGTAGAGATGAAGATGACCTAGTCACCGAGCTAGGAAGTGGAGCCTGGTGTGGGCCCAGGCCTGCCTGATGTGGACGCCTGCTCCTGACCTCACCTCGCCCTCCTTCCCCACCAGGCAGGTCACCGAGGCAGAGGGCGCAGCCTTGGCGGGAAGGTTTGGGTGCCTGTTTTTCGAGGTCTCGGCCTGCCTGGACTTTGAGCACGTGCAGCACGTCTTCCATGAGGCAGTGCGGGAGGCACGGCGGGAGCTGGAGAAGAACTCCCCGGCCCGGCCCCTCTTCATCTCCGAGGAGAGGGCCCTGCCCCACCAGGCCCCGCTCACTGCCCGTCATGGGCTGGCCAGCTGCACCTTCAACACCCTTTCCACCGTCAGCCTGAAGGAGATGCCCACCGTAGCCCAGGCCAAGCTGGTCACTGTGAAGTCATCCCGGGCCCAGAGCAAGCGCAAGGCACCCACCCTGACCCTATTGAAGGGCTTCAAGATCTTCTGAGGATCCTAGGCTCAGAGCCTCGCAGGGCTGCAGGGGGTGGCTGACCTCTGGCCACTGGCTTTCCCTCCGATGGAACAATAGCCTGCGCCCTCTGGTGGACAGCTGACCGCTGCTCCAGCACCAAGCAGTGTCCCGGACACCCAGTTCAATGTGTGAGCTGGAGGGACGGGCAGGAATGCGGCTCCTATTCCAAGGGCCTTGGTTTCCATGGTAACCATGACATTCCCTGCCATTGAAGGAAAACGGCCCCCTGGGACAGCCCAGACGCTGGAGTCAGCCGTAAGCAGGAGGAAATTGAGTGTCCATTGTGGTATCACCCCTTCCTGCTCCAGCTCCCGCCAAGCCAGATGTGGCCCCTAGTGGACAGCTCTGGGAGGACCGCTCCAGGAGGCCTGGCATAAGTGTAGGCCTGAGGACATCCTGCAGGAAGGACAGGCGGAGGCCCTCGAACACCTGGTGGGCGGGAGGGCAGGGTGGGTGCAGGGTTTGGGGGGCCAGAGTCTGGTCCTCCCGTTGTCTCCTGATCTCACAGAAGCCCCAGGCAACAAACCCCACAGTTTTTCTAAATAACATCCAGTTTAAACCTACGGGACATCCTGTAAGAAGCAAAGTCGCAGGAGGGGCTATTCCAGTGCTTGGCCTCTTAAGGAGGGTAGAGGGAGAGGCTGTGTGTGTCCAGTGAAGGGGACCTTAGAATTGTTCACCAGAAGGCAGGGCCCCCTTATCTTCCCACCTCAAATGAAGGACTCAGCCCATAGTCGGGACCAGCCTCCTCAGTATAATGATCAAAGCTGCAGAACAAATTACTTTCTCTAATGATGAGGACTCAGGATTCCAGGGAGCCCACGGCTGGCAGTATCTGACATCCAGGCACCATTAGCCTGCCCTGGGTCCATAGGTGGAAACAGTATACCGGTTTGTAGTCTGGTTCAGCAGGACCCAGTACCCTTCATAACGGGTCTGAGTGTTCCAAGTCTTTGGTACGATAGAACCTAAAGCATTTTTGGTTCTTAAAGCACATTTTTGCATAAATTATTTGGGGTTGCCCCCACAGCCTAGACCACAACACTGGGGCTCAGACACAGATCAGGACCCTCCCTTGGGGTTCCATGGTTAGCAAGAGTAGGGTCTCAGAGGCAGGGTGTCCCCTGGGTTCTAACTCTTTGTACCATGGGACCCCGGGCCCAAAGGAAGTCTTTCATGGACCCTCAGCAGAGAAGCAGATAAAGGAGAGGCCCCTTGTGGGAGGAAGGGCGGGGAAGGGGATTCTGAGCCAGAATCCTGCTCCCTCCCCTGTCAGCAATTCCAGGAGCGTGGATGGAAAACAGCAGGCCTGACCCAGCCTTCAGCCCCGTTCTAGAGAGGGAAGCGGAGGTCAGAGGCTGGACCTCCTTGGGCCACATGAGGAGTCCTGGCCGGGCTTCCTGACCTGCAGGCTGGCTGTGCATTTTGCACTTGTGCCCCCAGCCCCGTATGTGGGGCCACCACCATTTGAACAAACTATGCAATTCCAACTGCCCATATTCAGAAGCGTTTTAATAAAAAGGTGGTTTGTGGGGGTTTTTCCCCCATAACAGAATTTTAGTTGGATGGCACTTCTTTCGGTTTATCTGCTCACAACATGGGGCCCTGCCCTGCCCTCTCATTAGCTCTCGGATTCCCGTGGGTCTGGAAGGAAGACTGCTGGCATGCTCCTCTCTTTTAACTCAATGTCCACCTCGGCCAAGTTTAGCTTTTCTGAGAGCAAAGTCTCTCTTAGGATGTTCAGATTGTTGTCATCTTTGGTTCCGGCCTCAGTCAAGACTTCCGGAGTTGGTTTTTCCCGTGGCAGCTTCTTTTGCTTTCTGGGGGGAAAGAAAACACTGTTGAGCGTGCGTTCCCTGAGCCGGGGGTACTGCGTGGCTGGGGGAGGCCTGGGTTTCCCAGATGCGTTGGGGCGTTTGAGGGGAAGACCCAGTAGGCTGTCCTGGGAACTGTTGGGGGAGATGGTTCTGATGTTCTTTCAGCAGAGACACGGAGTAGACTTGCCCCTGCCTCTCACCAAATCCTCGTTGCCACCTGTGAGCTCAACTATTCACGCTCCTCCTACGGAGGAAATGTGGCTCAAAGAAGCACATTCCTGGGACATGCATTTAAGTCTCCTGACTCTGAGTCCTGTGTTTTCACCAAATCACATTTTTTTCCGATCCCAGAACTGTCATCTCACTTAGTGCAGGTCCTTGTCACCCACACCACACCCCAGGCAAACTGCAGGGCATTCCTAAATAATCTTCCAGCCTCTCGGTGCTTACGTCTCCAAACCAACCTAAACACACCAGTCATGTCTCTAAAGCCCCGGTGTGCACACGTCACTCCCCAGCTCAAGCACCTTCAGTGGCTCCCTATTGCCCACCTCCTTAATCGGCATCCAGCTTTCCTTCCTTTCAACAACTCCCCCAAATATCCTCCCTCTGGGGTGGTTTTACTCCAGGTACACTTCCTGGCCATGCGGGAGGGACCCAGCCGTGGTTAGAGCTGACTGCCCAGAGACTCTGCGTGGGCCCTGGGGTGGGGGTGCAGCTCAGTGTCTGCCGCTCCTTGGACAGACACCGTGGCTCGGAGTTGACCTTGCTGAGGGGGATGCTTCCCAACAGGATGAGAGAGGCAGAGTCCCTTAGAGGCGACACCCCTCTGGGCCCTTCATGCAGAAAGATCTTGCTAAAACATGAACCTTTCATGTCCCTGTGCAAAGCCCTTCTCATGAGCTAGAAGCTGAACTCTTTAGGATGGCCCTCAGGGTGTGTACACTCTGGGTCCCGGCGCCTCTTGTCCTCCCTCTCCCCCCTCTGCAGCCCTCCTCACACCCCACACTACAGCCACACAGGCCCTCCCTCCCACCTGGAGCTTGGTGCGTGCTGCCCCTTGGTCTGGAGGCTTCGGCAGCCCGCCTACCATCTCTTTGCCCTGAAGGCCCCCGATCCCAGCTCTGTGCTCCCACAAAACTCTGTATGTCCCACAGTCATCATCTGTCACTTTGAACTACCGTCATCTCCTCACCAATCTGTAGATTCCATAAGGCCAAGGCTGAACTATCTTGGCCACTGTTGTGGCCTCCACTCTCAGGATAGAGCTTAGCACAGAGCAAGTGCTCAGCCCATGTCTGTGGGGTGAATGATGAATGGGGCCACAGCAGTTCACAATGACTAGTTCTCAGTGTGAACTATGGGGTTCTTTCTTTTTGACTTGGTAGCAGAACAGTGAGGAAGATTCGAAGATGATGTAAAATATGGCATAGAAGGAAGAGCAGGGAAGTTAGGCCAACCCTTCCATGCATCCTTAATGACCTTATTCTGTACAACGAGAATTAATAACTTGTGCCTGTCCCGCCTGACAGAGCTGTCTTAAGGATCAAATAAGAGAATGTGAAGGTGCTTTTAAAATTACAAAACGTGATACAGATTTGAAGGAGAGAGTCTCATTATTGTTTCAAAGTTACTGATGTGATGGTTGATGGGTATATAGCAATTGTTGAAAGCGTGCATGAATTAGTGGGGATGAGTGAGCTAAGCATTTATGGAGTGATTTCTAGGTCCACACATTGTGCCAATTGCTTGGGGCAGTGGTCGGCAAACCGCGGCTCGGCAAACCGTGGCTTGCGAGGCACATGCGGCTCTTTGGCCCCTTGAGTGTGGCTCTTCCACAAAATACCAACTTCTGCGCATGGGCCACAAAGTTTCAATTGTACTGTACGTGCGCACCCGCCCGGGGTATTTTGTGGAAGAGCCACACTCAAGGGGCCAAAGAGCCGCATGTGCCTCGCGAGCTGCGGTTTGCCGACCACTGCACTAGCCTTTATGTTATTTCTCCCATATTTATTGACACCTGAGATGTCTCACTAGCTGGTGCATTTTCTTCTACCATTATCCCATTCCAGTTCACTATCAGCGAAAACCTTAACAGGACTCTGCTTCCTATGCTCCACCACCACTGCTTTCTCAGGCCACTCCTAATACCAACTGTTATAGATAGGTTTCCCCAGAAAAAAACCTCTGAGACAGAGAATAGCATATTCGAGGCTGATAAGGAAGTATTCTTGGGATCATGTCTCTGGAAGGGAAGTAATGGGTTGGGTGGGACTGGAGGGAGAAGTGCGGTTGTGTTGCAGTCCCAACTGAAGGTCTCAACCTACCCCACAGGGAACTCTGAAGCTGGAATAACCCTTCAGGCCTGTCTAGACTCAGGGCTAGGGAGGCTGGCCTTTATTTCCCAGCATCTTTCAGTATTTGGAAGCCAAACTAATGGAAAGGAGTGTGCCCTTGGGCAAGGCAAATACCTTTCATCCAACAGCTCTAAAGAGAGCTGAGGGCTATGGGCTGTCTGCCAGTAGCTGACATTGGGTAATATGGCTTTTAGTCCTGAATGGGAATCTGGGTGGTACATCACACATCTGCTACATACTTTGTATGACCAGAAGATATGCAAAT